GGACCCCATAAATCTGAATGGATGTAGTCTAGCACTCCTCTTGTCTTGTGTTTGCCAGTGCTGAAACTGACTTCTTTTGCTTTCCTAGAACGCAGTGCTCACAGAAGTCAAGTGTGCTGATCTTCTCACCTTCCAAAAAGTTACGATTGCTCAACATCTCCAGTCCACTTGCACTCATATGACCTAGTCTCATGTGTCATAGTCTTGCCTTGTCATCATTAGATAATTGCACTGTAGATGCATTTGCAGAGCCAACAATGGTGCTTCCGACCAATGTGTAAAGGCCGTTCTCCAGCTTTCCTTTCAGCATGACTAAAGACCTTTAGTCACCTTTATAGTTCCTGCTTTACTCATGTACCTGTAGCCTTGTTCATCCAGAGTACTCAGGGAGATCAAATTCTTCTTCAGATCAGGAACATGACGGACTTGTGTAATAGTCCTCACGACTCCATCATGGCAGCGAACCCGAACTGAGCCAATGCCAACTATTGCACAAGTTGCATTATTGCCCATTACTACGGTTCCTCCACTTTTCTCATAGCTGCTAAACCAGTCTTTTCGGAACGTCATATGCAGAGTGCAAGCAGAGTCTAACACCCATTTGTTTCCATAACTACTATTATTATTANGAGTGCATCTATTTATAGAGGTAAAGACCTCCTCTTGATGTCATTGGTGACATCAAACTACCTCCTCTTGATGTCATGGGTGACATCAAAGGAGGAAGCTTCCTCCTAGCATCCACACCAACTTTTTCCACCAACTCTTCCAATTGGCATGCCATTGTTGACTAAACATAACATCAAGAGGAGGTAGTTTGATCCTCCTAGCATCCACACCAAATTTTTCCACCAACTCTTCCAATTGGCATGCCATTGTTGACTAAACATAAATCAACACCTTCAAAAAGAATTAAGGGAATGTTGACAACAACATACCCAGTATTATCCCATATAGTGAGGTCTGGAGAGGGTAATATGTATGAAGACCTTACCCCTACCTCGTGAAGGTAGAGCTGGACAGAGGCGGATCTAGAGTATAACCCGGGAACCCAGTAACTTTTACATAGACCCTGTATTTTTGTTAAACAATTTATTAAATATCTATAAATATTTATTTGTGAACTTAGTTATTATTGTATATTAATTTGACATTGCGACAGGAACCCATAAACTTAAAATCCTGGATCCGCCTTTGGAGGTAGAGAGGCTGTTTCCAATAGACTCTCGGATCAGTAAAACATAAGCACCATATAAATTAAAAGATAGACAAGGAGGGACAATACCAAAAAGCCATGTAAAAGCAGCATAAAAACAACACGATAATAAGATGATCAAAATGAGAGAACGATGATCCAATGTTATTATTTGGTACACAATGATGAACGACTTTTTTTAGAATTATCATTTTTTTAAGGAACACAATGATCCAATGTTATTATTTGGTATGGTGATGACATGAGTTGAGCTTAGATGGAGAAGTGAGGATTTGTATAGCTAACCCCAACTTGTTTGGGACTGATGCTAAGTTGTGGTTGTTGTAATGATCCATAATCCTATCCCATCGCTACTTTCTCTTTCAGGTTTTCTTTTAGGAGCTGGGAATGGTAATCTTTGTAAAGACAGTAAGAAAGCCCCATATTGCTTTCTATTGTCTGTTACTAGAAAAATATATCCTGAGCTAAATCCAAATATCTGTGATAATGACCAAGAGGTGAATCTGGATTGTTTCCTCCAACCAGTCAGCTAAGTGGCATAAAGTTTCTTTATATGTAAAGGCAGAACAAGAAT